CTCTCTCTCTCTCTCTCTCTCTTTTCCTTTTGCTGATTCTCTCACTTTCGCACTCTCTCTCTCTCTCTCTTTCTCTCTCTCACACACACACACCCATTCACTCTCGCTTCCGCACTTATCCTCTGCGTTCCTTTTTACTTTTTAATAATGGACTCAAATCGAGTAATAAGTCTCTTAAAAAATAGCTCGTACTGCGCCTTTCTGCGTCCTCACTTCCTCTTTATTTCTTCGTCAATTAATTTTCTTCTCTCTCTCTCTCTCTCTCTCTCCCGTTCGCTCACGTTTTCTCATCGTGATGTACCAAAATAAACTAAATATATTTACTTCAAGTCTCAACAGCGTAAAAATCTTTCATACGTTTAGATGATGTCAATAATAGTAAATCGTTAATTATAATAATACAGTGTCATTATTGTAATATTATAATAATAACTACGCGACTCTCTTTCGCCTTTCTCTCTCTCTCTCGCTCTCTGTCTCTCGTTCGTTCTCGTTCTCTCTCTTTCTCTCCTTGCTAAACTTTATTCATCTCGCTGCTACCGTTGTTACTTTTTCCTCGTAATTTTCTGTATCGCACGAGTAATACGCAGCTCTCAAGTATTTTCTTTTTTTTTGGTTAAAAAGCTACATTCTCTCCCTCCCTTTCTTACTCGTTTATGCCTTTTCGCTCGTTCGCCTGTCGATCTTCGTCAGACAACGCGAGAAACTCCCCGTCGAATGCATAAATAGCAGGATGCAGGAAAAGAATCGTTCGGGAGGAGGGGGGGGAGTTACGTGGTGGAGAGACTTTGGACGCATGTGACGTGAGAGAATAATCAAGGCCTAAACGAAAGAGCACGTCTGAACTGGACTCGAATAATGCAAAGCAAATTTTTCAAGTGGAACGAAAACGTGGAACTTTAAAAACACAATCCTCTCATGTGCAAAAACTGCACCTGGCGTTCTAAAATTTTCAATTTTCTTTAAATTGAATTTTTCGACCGACCGTAGGACGAATAAAGTCACTTTATTTATTCACAACTACTAATCTTAATATCAAGATGAGAGAGTGCCGTCTTGATTACCCTCCCGTCAATCTGTCTGCGTACGCGCGTGCATTCGTGTACGTGTATGTGTGTATACATGTAGATAAATGCATGTTGTTTTTATTTCCACATCCCACTTTTCTCTTTCTGACAGTAACGCGTTCTCTCGATAAAATAAATTAATTTATACTCTAAATTGTTTTATCTTGTAACAAATCTATTCCTTTTTTTCTCACTTTCTCTCTCCTTTCGTTCATCCGTTCTTTCTTTCTCTCTCACTTTCGCTCATTCTCTCTCTCTTTTTCTTTTCTTCTTGTTGTCTTGCACTCAGTTTCTCGATTTATTCCAGTTTGATTTTTCTATATTATTATTATACTTCGTGTTGTGAGTGTTTCTATTTCCGTTTCTCACAGTTCAACAATTTCTTTCAATAATACATGCATATACAAAATCTATCAAATTGAACAACAAAAACAAAAAATGTAGAAATAACGCAAAAAAACAGTTATATCTATAAAAGCAAATTTGATTTTGCATTTAATTTACCGTTACGTAAAAATATATTATAACAATCTATCTCTTTCAATGAATTATATAAGTATATGAATTTTTTCTCTGCCTTTCTCTTTCTCTCTCTCTCTTTTCTTTCTTTCTTTAATTTTTTTCTTTAACGGATCTTGAAAAGGCACAATTATAAAAAAAAGAAAATATTTGTATTTGCGGTATAATTATAAAAACCGATATTGAATCTAACTCGTATCGTTGTAAAAATAACGGTTTAAAAAAATGTTACTTTCAATTCTCACACAATAATAACATCAGATAATATTTGACATTGCATTTTTCCCTCTCTTTTTCATTTTAGAAGCAAGGTTCATATCTGGTACTTTTTTTCTTTCTTATAATTCTCTTGAAATATTTATCCATCGTAAAATTTATCGTTATTAAGAAAAAAAAACCCCCATAAAGAGAACGCAACGCGAAAAAATGTGCCACTAATTGGTAAAATTAAGCATTTCCGATTAAAAAAACTAGTTCCTCATAGTGGAAATGCGCTCGTATGCCCGGCTTATGGAATGTTTCTTGGACATAAAAGCGAAAAAGGAAAAAAAAGACAAGATATAATTCGACGAGACGCACGAATGTGCGAAACTCAGTACGAGAATGCGATGGTAAAGTGTCTGGCGTGATCCAGGCGATCTGTATGAACGGATGAAGGTTAAAGTGCGTTGTCGCGGAAGACGCTTGTTCTCGCACATGTCCCCGCCGCCGAAAAATATCTTCGCGAACGAGCATTCTTTTCCCGAAAATTTGCAATCAAAATTTGCAATCATAATTATGAACTTTTAAATTTCCTCTTCCGATGTTACATCAAATCCGACGAAGCAGAACATTCTCCCCCTCCCCCTCGCTATATTTCTCTCTCTCTTTCTCTCGCTTGCTCTCCAAGTAATATTATTATTATTATTTACTATTATTTGTTCGCAAAGAATTTTCCTTTATATACTTCTGAGCGCAGTTTTACTTCTTCTCTCTCGCTCCCCCCTTTCTCTCTCTCTCTCTCTCACTCTCTGTGTTTGCTTACATATTTTACACAAACATACCTATTCTCTCCCATTCATTAAAAATACTTGTCCACACTCTCGAGCTCTCGAAATCAATTTCGACTAGCTTCTGTGTCATCTCTTTCTCTATTTTAAATGTAGTATCTAAAGTTACATCATGGAAGCCTATCAGCTTGACACTAAACTGTTTCTTCTCGGTTTTTTTCTTCTTTTTTTTTTCGTTTAGCGTATGTGATGCCATTAACGTAGCTTCAATGGGCCGTACCGGTGCGGAAACACGTGCCGATTTGCGCAGATGACACGCGGTCGCGCTCGCACATTCTCGTCCCCTCTATTTCTTTCGTTTCTTACTCTCTCTCTCTCTTTCGCTCTCTCGCACTCTCTCTCTCTTTCTCATTCACTCACTCACTCACTTTCTCTCTCTTTCTCTTTCTCTCACTCACTCTCTCTTTCTCTCTACATGCACTCAGCCTACTCGTTGCAAAATATGAACTATATTTTCCTACTTACTGATGGATAAAACGTATAAAACATCGCTGGTAAGTCAATTTATCGTGAGGAAGAATCTTATCCGTTACGTAATGTATCTTTTGTTTCAAATCTATTCTTCTTATTATAATCCACTCGGTGTCTTGCTCTCGCTCGCTCGCTCGCTCTGCGCGTGTCTTCATGAATCAATCAATACGCTTTTTTTCTAATTTACGTAACCCTTAGCGCGATCGTACATCTGTAAATAGAAGAAAAAAAAACATCTTTAATTTGAACCCGTTCGTCTTATTGGCGTTTAACGATCTAAGAAAGAAAAGGAATTCTAACCTATTATAAACCGTGGCCTACTTCGGCTGCTGAGCCTGGTACTGTTGGTAAGAGTCATCGGGAGACGCAGCGTTACTCGTTTGCTCCGACTCGCCTAGCGGCATGGTGTGAATAATGCTAGGAGCGGGATAAGTAGTATAGGGATACGGATGCGGGCTCGCTATGTACTGAAAGAGAAAACAAGAAAACATAGCTTTCATTCATCAACATCAGCTCGAATCGATCAACTTATCCGAGCATAAAGCTGTAAAATCTTGATTAAATGTTTGGAAACCGTTCTTATATCTTTAACATATTTCTCGAAACTTAAATCTTTCAAACGTTCTAAATGTAAATCTTCCAAATTTTTTAAACTCTCTAGTTCGTTAAAGTAAAATTTTTTGTAACACGTTTGGGATAGTTGATGGATTCTTACGTTGAAATCTTTGCAGTATTCTTCGATAATCGAATAGTAACCACTTACGGAACCAGTGCCGAGATGCAAGGTAGACATTTGTGCACTAAGCTGAGGAATCATACTGTACTGCGGATTGCTAGGATCGGCCGACGGTATCATCTGTAATTAAACGAAATCCAATGATGAGATGTAAAGAATGATGAAGCGAGTAATATTGTTTTGAAAGACAAATTGAAGAATAAAAACCAAAGGCTACTGCAAGCAGACACGAAAGTTAAACACAATTTCCTCGTAAGTTAAAGACACGCGTGATCCAAGAATGTATTTACGATTTAAATGATTTCATAAAAATGACACGAACTTTCAGAGAGAGATAACTTGTATTCAAATTTAAATAAATTTGATTATCAACTTCATTATTGAGACATTAAGATAATCTCTCGATCGCGAACAAGCATTTTCGATTAATTGCGCGAAACGATAAAAACAAAATGAACGAAAAGTATATAAAAACTCACGTCAACCTGTTGCATATGTGGTGGGGAAGGGTGCACGAGGTAAGGAGCCACCCAAGGAGTGCCTGGCACACTGTAACCAGGCAACTGACCGTAGTGACGACTATATTGCGTCAGAGTCGCCGCCGGGAGCATGTGAGTCGCAGCAACGCCGTTCTGACCGACACCGCTCGTATCGTAGTTCAAAGTCATGTTCTGAAAAAGAAATAACAAAAAGTTGCATCGACATACTTTTGAAATATCAATCGCAAAGAGTTATTACAAAATCTTTCGCGATTCACTTGTGAATTAGAAACGTTGAGATAAGATTTTGTAATCTTTATCCTTTGATAATGCAATTTTTCAACAAATCGACAATTACGAAGAATTGAACCCTATTTTTCGGTAAAAATGATACGTACTTCTCCAGTTTCTCTCCATATTGTACTTTTGAACAACGATTTCTTCTTGTTTCCTCCATCGGCGAATTTGACTAACAACGGATCCTTTGCTCCTGGCAGAGCCTTGCCGTTGAACATTTGGATAATTTGCTCGCACTTTTCTTTACTTTCCATTCTGTAATAAAGCCGTTGATAATACAAAATTACTCACAAGGCAAAGCATCGTCGTATATAACTTTATTCAAGATTTTGCAAAATAAAAATTTAAAAAATAACATAATCTGCATTCTATATCACAATTAATCAAGTTTCATTTCTATGACATTTATATGATGTAAAATGATAATAGAACAATATGCTAATTCCTTCCTTTCTTTTTTTCTGACAAAATTTTGCACCAAACAAATACCGACAGCTATTTTCACGAATGATACGAACCTTGCAAATCCGACACCTTTGCTTTGGCCGGAGGTGTCACGAAGAATACGCGTCGAAATCACTTGACCGTATTGAGCGAGTAATGCTTCAACGTCATTTTCCTTGAAGTTCAGCGGCAAGTTGGCAATATACAGGTTGGTAGGATCCTGCTCCTGTTGCTGAGAAAAGAGTAAAAGTACTATGCAATTATTTATAATAGAGCAACACAGTGAGTATATCAATTTCCAGATAAATCTGAGCGCACTATCATTTTAACTTCCACGACTGTGAATCGTTACATCGCCGCTATGTGTATATCATCGATCACAAATGGATGCACAGATGAAACCATAATGCATGGATTCGAAGTCGATCGAGAAATACGTCTGCAATCCGTCCAATTGTTTGAACAATATTATTTTTGTATTCAATTCGAACATTGTTAATAAATAATGAAGAGAATCCCGTGCGGAATCGCGTGACTTCTTTCCTTAGTCTGGAATGTTAAAATGATATCTGCAAGCTTACTGAATAATGATCGAAATAATAATCAGAAAAATCGAAAAGACTTGTTCTCAAAACAATAATGAGACACTTTTTTTTCTCGTTTCATGAACACGCTTGACAAAAATAAATTCAAACGGTACTCGTGAAAAAGTAGCGGCGGTCTCACCGAAAAACACAACGTAAACGTTTCTACAACATTGACAACTACGAAGAAACCATTAAACTATAATAGGAATCTAAATCTCGGAAGAGTGCAAAATAAAAAAAAAAATAAAAAAAAGAAACGAACGGATATCGAAAGACCGGTATTGGAACATGAAATCGACTAGATAATTATTATTCCCAATGTCGAAAGATTATCATGCTACATGGCAATTACCACATTCTGGTGGCTCTCTAAATTTGCTTGGTTCTAGGATGCATTCGACTTATATCTTTGAACTAACAAATGCTATCTCTAAATACAATTCCCCTCGGCGTTGCATTTTCCTCCGCGCGTAAAGCATGCTCACACGGATAGAGATTATATATATATGTATATTCTATGTACACCATAGTAGAATTATTAATAATTCTCATAAAGATCCAAATGTATTGAAAGTATCGTGTTGTCTCTCTAAGAATAAATTCCTAAGAAATAGATAGAATGAGAGCAAGTGAGCATAGAAATCAATTGAACGTAAAGGTAATTCAAATTCAGATGTAAACAAGTAAAAGAAGATACACATAATGTAAAACGTGAATGTCAGATTATATACACAACTCTCTATTGTAATTTAAAAGGAAAAAAAAGGAAAAAAAAAAAAACACGAGCGTTTGCATTAAAACCAGGTTTCCACCGGTTGGCCGATCTCTCGTAATAAGTACGAGGCAATCGCAAATATACATATCGCCTGTGCATACATTTTGTCGCGCGATGCAAGTGGACGAATTCTCTCGATGTATTTATGCGCAATGGAATCCGACGCAGTGCGCGACGTTTTGCGCAACGTCGTTCGCTTCGAGTTACCGTGGTGCTCGAAAAATTTTGTGACGCGCGTAACCGACACCGCTATGTAGAAACGTTTGCAAAACACGCGGCCAAATTTATACAGTGTATCGACACGACTCGACGGACAGTAGTTGCAAAGCTCTGTGGCTCAGTATCTATTTGATGTCTTTAACATATTACGTACGGCACCGTTTCCGACGTTCTTTACACATAACCATTCAAAGCGGTAATAAAAATCCAAGTAACATGATATTTGGAGAGAGAGAGAGAGAGAGAGAGAGAGAGAGAGAGAGAGAGAGAGAGAGAGTA